TATATATATATATATATATATATATATATATATATATATATATATATCACACACTAGTTGTGTATGTTGGACTTTACTTTATGTACTTTTGAGTGAAGTGACTCAAAGCACAGCAAGATAAGTTATGAGCTTGTATCAAGTCTGTGCACAATGTATTTACATATCCTGAAGAAAAGTTAATAAAATGTTTAATTGTTTTATATTTGGCCTTCTTTTTGGCCAAAGGTGGTGTCTGCATACTGATGGGTACCTTATGGTCCCGGGCTGTTTATCACAGGTGGTAACCTCTGAGGCCTGACCACATCCCATTCCAACACCTTCGGGATGAACCGGAGCGCCGACTGTGAGGCGGGGACAGCAGATAGATGCCCATGAATCACGTGTTCAACTGTCATCTATAATGTTCAGATACGGAGATCATGATTGGATGATCAGCTCTACTTTTGACTTGTATCAGTCTACAGCTGTATTAGGCTGAGCATATTAGCATATTACATTTTAAAAACTCTCTCACACACACACACACACACACACTCTGTCCTCAGCTGACCAGTGACTGCTAATATATGAGTCTGTGGGGGTGGGGGTGTAGTCAGGGCTGTCAGATCCTGTCCTGTGTGCCAAAACAAACACACCCATCACCAGGAGGTTGCAGCCAGTCGGGGAAAATGTGCAGTTTGACTGACGAGAGCAAACAGTCAGCCGACCCTGCGGCTTCCCGTCTCTCTGGGAGTCTCTGCCGTATATATTACCTCTCTGTTCGGTGACTTCATCGCCCTGTTCTGGTGGAAATAAGTGTAACAACATCCATTTACTCTCACACGACTTCTACTTTAAATCTGATACTGTTCATGAATATCTATGTGCAACCCAACTGATCCATCCCGTCAAGCATTTATTTTTCTATTTGCACCTTATTGTTATCTTAGACTTTTTATATTCACTCTTCCCACTTTGTATTGCAACTGCTGCGCAGCAATTCCCCTCAGATATACAACGTTTTATTTCATCTTATCATATCTTAAATCTAAAGTATGTGTTTGAGAAAAACATTTTTTATTTAAGGAGATAATAAGTCAGTGACAGGTAACGCACAATCGCTCCATATCCTCATTCTCAGTCCGAATCATAATGCCATAAGATACTCTGTTACTGTTAGGACTGTACGAGTGTTCTTCCTCTCGGTAAAGACGCTCTGATCAGCAGCTCATTTCTATGCAACATTCATAAAGGGCTTTGTGTTGAACATTTGTGGTTGGATTGTGTGCATGTGAGCGGGATGAGAGGCTGAACCAGCTGAACACATTTACAGGTAGATTTGGGATTCATAAAAGGAAATAGCTCACTGGCAGGCGTACGTAAGGTTTTATAAATCAGAATATTTTTTGGCATATTCCTCCTTTGAACATACGCAAACATTCAGTGTGGATCCTATGCACTGTTTTTTAAACGAGACCCCTGCTCTCTACTGACTACACTCTTCTAGTTACTGAGAAATAAGTTCTTATTTCTGCTTTCTCCACCAAAACATTTAGCCTAATAAATAACTTCCAGTGTTCAAAAGAGATGATCATATTCTGGGTTATAAAATAATGATTTCACGATCAGAATATCAATAAGTACAGACTGAAATAATATAAATGCATTCTCCCAGTAGAAATGGACACAGTACACCTTATAAATACAGAACGCAGGTAGTTCTTCATGTTCATGTGTTTGTTAGATTGCTACCTGCATGTTGACGTGTCTGCACATAGTATGTGCAGGAGTGAATATACTGGAGTGTCTGTGAGTAAAATCGCTGCAGTGAACATGACGATTCTCAGTTTCATGTGATTAAACACTAATGAAAACATGCCAATAAATCACTGGGCCTTAAATAACTGCCTAAGAGTTTTGTCTGTTACCATATCGTTCCCGAGGTCAGCAAACTGCATGTCCTGATATGAACCATAAGTGTAAGTTGTCCCGTCGTAACAGGTGCAACAAAACCAACAAACAAGTGAGTGGAGGAGATGTCAATCAAACAACGAACCCACACAAGGCCCGACAAGGCAGATCAGGTTAAATCAGCACCACCAGGTGTAGCACGGCTGTGCAGGAACTCGAAGGCGCTGCTCCTCTTTGCCTCCAGCTCTGCAGAAACACGTCGAGACATGTTCAGCGAAAACCAACAGCACGATGCCA